CACAGGAACATACGCAGTTACCTACAATTTACGCTTGTCGTATAAATTCGTCTATGTAGGTACATACATGTGTAATATAGTAAATACTATGTACATGTGTTGGTATATAACATCTTCCTTGCCAACCTTTTCCATAGCTGTTCTCGGGTGCGCTCGTGTACCACCACCCGATCAACAGAGTAGACAGACTTGCGTGTTAGACAGCAACCCTGCAATCGTACGGATATGTAGGTAGGTATGTATCTAGGTACCTACAGTATCGGTCATATCTATAGCACGCCATTTCAAAGTGATATTGTGTGCCACTTATATTTATTTATTAATTTTTAAGAATTTTCAATTAAAATTTGGTTCATTCTCAGACAAACCCCATATATACCCAAGTTTAACAATTTGTAGAAAACTTCAAAAAAGTGCAACAAAATTTCACCTAAATTTCAAACTTTTTTCTCGGAAGTGCTATAATTTTTTTGAGTACACAGTTTTTTAGCCCCTGCAATTTTAGTCTGATAATGTGCAAATTTCAAGTGGCTACTAATTACCGTTAATTTTTTAGAATTTTTTTTGTCGCATTGGCTTCCATATAATGAATAAACTCAATTTATTTGTATATGGAAGAAAACCGCAACATCTTTGGCGAAAAAAATTCTATAAAATCAACGGTTACCTTTAGCCACTTGAAACTTGCACATTATCAGACTAAAATTGATTGGGCTATAAAACTGTGTATTCAGAAAAAAGTTTGAAATTTATATGAAAATTTGTTGCACTTTTTTGTAGTATTCTACAAATTGTTAAACTTGGGTTTATATGGGTTTTGTTAGAGAAAGAACTATATTTTAATTGAAAATTCTTAAAAATAAATAAATAAACATAAGTGGCACACAGTATCACTTTGAAATGGTGTGCTATAGATATGACCGATACTGTATGTAAATAAGTATGTATATACCGAATAGTACCTTTCTTCTAACATCCTAATGGGGGTTGGAAAATATGTAATGCTCTTAGACAATGGGGGGTTGAAAATCGAGGAGGCATTATTCAGGCTCTGTAAAATAAGTACACATGTTTTATGCGTATACCACATACATATGTATGTACTGTTTAAAAGATTTCTATGGCGAATTTGTGCATGTGTTATTGATATTATGTACTTATTTATAGCATAGTATTCTACATATGTACGCACATACATATGTACTATATACACGGTGACCATTCGTACCGATTTTGGCGGGACAGTACCGATTTTGAGAAAATTGTCCCGCTGAATATTTTTTAAAAGACGGGACTATAAGTGTCTCGATTTTTCATATTTGTACCGATTAAGTCCCGATCTTCAAAGTTTTATCAAAATTTTGAGATTTTTAAATATTTTTCTTAGAAACTTTCTGAGTATGCAGTTTTGTAGCTCATTCAATTCTAGTAAAACGAAGTGCAAATCTGGTAAATTTGTTTGTGGAAGGTGATGGCCATTTTCCCCGTACAAAAAAATTGTCGAACATACTTTTGTGGAAGAAAATGCGCGAAGAAAAAATTGCCTAAAATCAACGGTAAGTCCAAGCTATGCACTTTGTTATACTAAAATTAGATGAGCAACAAAATTGCATGCTCAAAAGAATTCTAAAAATCTGATTAAAAGGTTTACAATTTTTATCAACATTTGTCAAAATTGTAAATGTTGTACAAAATTTGAAATCTTTATTTACAGTTTTTTTTTAGATATTTTATATTAGATATTATATATTTTCATAAAAAGGTCATAAACATTTTTTAAATATAGAAAAGTAGCCAACACTTTCTAAAATGTATTTTCCCTATTTATATTCTTGCCACCGTATATATTGTGTGTACATATTTTTGAGTTCAGTTCTTTTGCTCTTTGCTTTGTCTTAAATAAAACTGTATTAAGAGATGTTATGCCTTTTTATTCTAAAAACAAAATTGTATGTTCGGATTCGATGCTTTACAAGTGTCCCGATTTTGTTCCAGAGAAATCTGGTCATCGTAACTATATACCATGCATTTGAAATTTAAGAAAACATAAATTTTTTAAAAACTATATAATTCAGCACTCAATAAGCTAACTGGGGAGATTTGTAAGTAAACTTTGTCAATAAACTATTTGAGGCAGTCGCTCCGTCGCTCTCGACATGGCAAATCACCAATGCACTAGATGAAAAGCCATCTTGATTTCAGATTAATACAAACCTGAGTTGGATTTGATGCTTTAGAGGCTTTTGTACGAGTGATAATTTATGTGACATTCCTTTAACTTAGGCAGAGTGGGATTGTGGCCAAAAAATTAAAAATTAAAAATTGTGTATATATAAGGGAAGTACATGCGAGAAAAAAGTGGTGGAGATTTGAATTAATGGTGGTGTATTTGCGCTTTGAATTTGTGTTCGGATGTTACTCGTAATTTTGAGATGATCATATAAGTCAACAGATTCCTGCAAATTTGCATGTAGAGAGAACACAATTTATGTTTAAGTATACTCTGAAGGATAAATAACGAAGTTAACAAAATGTATTATAAAAAACCAAACTGAAGATTAGACTAGCTTTGAACTCATTATTATAAACATATATTCGTTGCGGGCGTCCTCATCGTACCAATTCTTCTTTCGGACTAGCTGAAATCCAACTGCTTCTTTGGCGGCGGTACTTACGGGAAATGTAGTTCCACTGCTCGCGTATGTCGGTTTGTGGAAGAGTGCTCTCCGAGAGCAGGTGTGAGAGTAGAGTGGCAAATAAATTAGCGGTCTTTTGTGATTGCAGCATTTCGACATTAAAATTTCCTTGCATTTTTGTGCGCAAATTCTTTGTGGCGCAGAGGCAGGTGCGTATCTTGGATAGAAGATAGTGGTCCAAGTCGATGTTTGGCTCTCGGAGTGTGCGTATGCACATCTAAAACACTGGAAGTGTGCCTTCCGTTTATCGCAACATGCTCGACTTGGTTTCCCGTTTTTCTATCTAAAGATAGCCATGTAGCTTGATGGATCTTTTAATGCTGGAACATAGTACTACATATTACCATGTTTCGGGATTCGGCGAAGTCGATTAACCTCAGTCCGTTATCGGACGTTTCGTCGTGGATGCTGTATTTTCCGACAGTGGCGCCAAAGATCCCTTCCTTGCCCACCTTGGCATTAAAATCGCAAGGCAGAATTTTTATATCGTGTCGGGAGACACGGGCATTATAACTTTGTTCACATAACGGCCAAAGCGAATCGAGACAGATATAGAGAAATATATTAATAAATGATCAGAATGAAGAAAGAAATCGATTAAACGATGACTGTCTGTCCATCTGTGCACACGATAACTCGAGTAAAAATTGATATATCTTAACGAAACTATAACTTCGTAGGTATGTGTACTCCTTTTTAGCGTAGGACGGATGGTATTGAAAATTGGCAAAATCGGACAATAACCACGCCCACATCCCATAGAACGATAATTCAGAAATTTTCGATAAATCAGTAAATACGGAAGCTAATGTATTCAAAATTTATGTTTGCAATAATTCTTTAACAAAAAACACGTTTATGATAAAATTTTGGAAATGGGTCCCTTTATGACCACATATGTATGTATATCTCGGTAACCGTTCCGTCAGTGTGTACCGAAATCAGTACAATTTTTGTACTTGCCATATAAAAGCAAAACGTTAAAAATCATTGAAATTATGACCACTTTTCACATAACGGTAAATTTTAGAAACGCTTGAAACTTCGATATTTTGAAATCTAAGTACGCTAATTTACTCAAAATTTATACTGACAATAATCGCTTGATAATAAGTAACATTATTATAGAATTTTGGAAAATGGGCGTGATACCGCCCACATATAACTACAGTAGTAACTCGATTCTTGCACATAATGAAAACCAGGCTCGGTGCAAGTTTCGAGGTAGGCGCAAGCACTGAGTTTTTATTTTCCATATAAAATAAAAGGCACTTACTCGTATATACTGGCAAACATGAACTTTTTTAGAAATCATTTTCTTGTGTTTAATATTTCAATTCAAAACACTTACGTTCATTCAAAAGGCTTAAGTTCAATCCATACATAAAAGTAGACAAATATGTACATATGTACACATGTATTTCAAGTGGAATTAAAGAAATTTAGAATTTAGCTCGCTTGTTCAGTACTACGCAGCTTCTGAGTCTCCGGAGCGTCACAATATCGTCAAAAGAAGCATTGCTTTGCTCCACCAAACTTTTAAAAATACTGCAGCATAAAACGACGGGACTTCCCTGAACTTCATTCAGTATAAGGGCCGGTTGTTTAATGTCTGGTTAACACAAATTGGAGGTATAAGCTCCGGTTAAATACAACGGCTGCTTTATAGATCACATGGTATATGCATCATGTCGAAATCGTCGACAATAATGTTCAACTGGGAGGTAGTGATAACCAGACATTGAATCACCGACCCTAAGAGAACGTTAACAAAAGCAGCATAAAACGACGAGACTTCCCCGAACTTTATTCAGTCTAAGAAAACGTATACAACAGCAGTAAGGCCAAAGTATCGAGTTCAAATTTTTGGATGTCACAGTCCTAAGTACGTAATGGAAAATATTTCTATGTTGCAAGAATCGGGGTGTGCAAGTACCAAGTATGTGCAAGAATCAAGCTACTACTGTATATAAGTTTATCTTAACTGAACATACTATCGAAATTTTTATAAATAGGGTTAAAACCGCTCTGCTTACCAAGTAACGGTAATTTTCAGAAAGGTGAAAAACTATATTTAGTACTTGCACCGGGTTTTTAATGTAATTTTTTATTTTTACTTGTTATATTTAAGTTAAGCTAGTTGAACTGCTCTCACTTTCTGCTGCACTTTTTTTGCTGATAAAAACTTTGTATGTCGTACAAGTATCAAAACATTGAAAAAGCATTTCTTGCCACACATCATCGCATCGATAGGCAAACATATTTAAATACAAGAACAGCTATACTAATTCCAATCGTCCACAGGTGTGAATACAAGAAAGCAAAGACGTGAACGAACAACATTTACGCGCGCCCAACTGGATGTGCTGGAGGCGTTATTCGGCAAGACCCGCTACCCGGACATCTTTATGCGAGAGGAAGTTGCGCTGAAAATCAATCTACCCGAATCCAGAGTGCAGGTAAGCTAACTAATCTAAAGCTTAAGTAGAAGATACATACAAAAGTTTAGCTTAAGCGTGATGTAACTGTAATGCATGAATACCCACAAAAGCAAATAGGCATTTAAGAAATAAGTGCATACATACATACGTACGAACACAAGTGAATGCAGTTAAAGATTTGAAGCATAAAAACATATGTTTGTATATATGTGGCATTAACATGTTTGCTTATAGCGGGTGTAATCACACTGCTATGCGCCTAGAAGCAGGCAACGCCATCAAGCATTTAATGTCATAATCTAACGACTTTTCATTGTTTGAACGAATGTGAGCGCGCACTCACATACGGTAATTATTCATTTGTAACGCATTTTGCCTTCTGCGGGCCAAAAGCAAATAATTTCCGACAATTACGTTAATGTCAAAAATCCGGAAAATCCATTGGGTAAACAAGGCAACCGTACGCACAACTTTAGACATCTTCGTACAAACATAATTACATACATACATATGTTTGCATATAAATATGTATTAGTATGAGTTGGCTGTGTTTGCATATGCTGGTGGCTGTTAGCTCTTGGCAGAGTTGGCAAAATGTTAAAAACAAATCGTGCGCCACTGACGCGCTAATTTTTACAATTTCACTTCAACCCTTCAGTCCCGCTCTCCACGTACGCACTCTGTTCTTGCTGGAGCAGCTAAATGCTGCTGCATATCCTGCTGTGCAAATACCGCGTCAGCAAACATACGCATATCCGATGACAGAAGCGATTCATGCGTTCCCAGCCTGCTTGGCGGCGAAATGCGATTTATGCCACTGTCCATTGTGAATTTTGGTAGCCGAAAGCTACAAATTGAATGACAGCAAACGAAAATCTGCGTTGGGATCGGTGACAGCAGCGATTGTTTTTGGATGCTATTCCTGGTCTGATTGTGTTTGTGTGATGACAGATTTTGCTTGTGTACTTTTATATGGCAAGCAACCCTCTATGAGCCCATGGAGTAGTTTTTGTGGCAGGGTGCTTTGATGCTGCAGCAGGGCTGTTCAGTTGTTTCCTTTCGTTTTTGGGCTTGTTTGTTTAGTTGTTTACACAGAAACGTTGACAAATTTCTGCTAACAATAATATAAATAGTACACTGTTAGAAAAATTGCACAAATTGTGCGTTGGCGTCTTCAAAGCAGCGAAAGATGGAACGGACCAAGTTACAAGTGGCTAAACAATCGCGTTGATTTTTAATAATTTTTTTGGTGGCGATTTTTTTAAATATCTAACAAGTACAAATTTTAAAAATGGTGTTGACTTTCAAAACGTCAACATCAATTGCATACTCAAAAATGTTCTAAAGTATCGCAGTTTTAAATTTTGATCAATCTTTGTTGAATTTTCCTGAATTCCTAAATTTTGTATAAGGCTTGGTTTTGGTGAAAGCTTGGACAATACGGGTATAGAAAAATAACAAAAAAAAATTTACTTGAAAAACTTTTTGAATAATAATATAAAAAAAATAGCAACACGTGCACACTTGTTTGAGTCACTGTATTAGCTTACGAATTAGAAAAAAAATTCTTTTGTTTGTGGTGTAAACAGTGGTCGGGACTATTGAAATTCGACTCTGCAGTAAAACACTCTCGAAATCAGTGTAAAAACCAAAATTTCTGTAGTACATAGATTTGCATTTTTTATTTTCGTTTTCATGCGGAACATGAATTTGAAAATTTTATGAAAAAGAATCAATGTCAACATACATACATTCATACTATCAATATTTAGCCCGCACTGAAATTAAAGTGCCTAAAAGCTAATAAGGCAGAGAAGGACAGAAAAAATTTCAATCTAGCGCTAAAATAGCTAAAGACGAAAAACCGTAGTATACAGCTCTCAAAAAAATCTGAAGAATTTTGTTTATTTCTATTACTCGGAAAAGCGCTGTGCCTTTGCTGTAAATCTTGTTGAAGGAGTAAATACACGAGACAATATCATTAGAGCAAAAACAGCAATTACGTGTATTTTGTTGTTGCTTCTGGTATCTAAAGTATAAAAAAAAAAATATTTTACTTTTTTGAATATCATAATGGGTGTGTGAAATATGTGTATATAAACAAAAATTTAAATAAAAATATTACAAATTGGTGCTACATCCTTTCTTTATAAATTTGTTTTATTCCAGAAGCATCAACACATCGTTTTTAGGGGGGGACCAATAACACTATGCGACAGTCAAAATCGGGATGGGATGAAACCAACGGGAAATGTTATATCGGTCAAAAACAAGTTATACGTGTCCCGGCGTTACGCTGGGTCACGTCTAGGAATCGAGATATTTATATAACTATCATATAGGGGAAATTGTCACCTTTGGTGGTCTTTTTTTGATATAACTCGAGAACCACTAGTCCGATTTTGCTCAAACAAATTTAAAAAAATTAAAAATTGCAATTCCTTTAATCTGTTCATATAACGTTTTTCTATATAATCAACAGTTTTGCCGGTAAAAATAAATGTATGAAGAAAAAAAATATTTTTTGCCTAAAATATTAAATTTTTTTAAAACTGTTGATTATATAGAAAAACGTTATATGAACAGATTAAAGGAATTGTAATTTTTAATTTTTCTAAATTTGCTTGAGCAAAATCGGACTAGTGGTTCTCGAGTTATGTCAAAAAAAGACCACCAAAGGTGACAATTTCCCCTATATGATAGTTATATATATATCTCGATTCCCCGGTAGTTTGAACCCATCCCGATCACTGACTCGTACCATTTGTCTCACAGTGTAATCAGCGTTTATGCTCCTGAGTTAGGCAAACGTTGCAAAGGCTGCCAATATATTTTGCGAATTAAGAATTTATGTGACACAAATTTATGAATATTTGACAGTTTAGAGACTGAAGAATTAAAAAAAAAAATGAAATCAGCTGCTCTCCGCACTCTTTCTTTAAAGCTGTAAACGGATTTAAGAAATTTGGATACAATAAAATTTCTTTTTCATTTCTTGAACGTTATTTTATATGAATTTCTTGTTTTTCTTGAGAACTGTGTGCAGTATACTATGCTAGAGACTGACTTCGAAAACGTACAGCTGGGCTGAATTTATACATTTTGAGTACTTTGCTTAAACTGCCTCAGTATACCTTGTTACAAATCCTCAAAACTCAAAAGATAGCAGCCGGATATTTTGGCCCCTATTTACTTACTGTACCGGTACTTTTTTTATAAAAAAATAATCTAAACAATCTTGTCAATGTCTGCTGCTCTTGAGCACAGAGCATAATCTACAATATAATCAAATTCTGAAGGACCTGTGGTCACTATTATAGTACAAATAATTGACGCATGTCCGGAGGAACCTAAGCGGACAAGGAAAAAATAAAAAGATTCGAAAAAGAAAGTATGAATATTCCGGTTAAGAATGGTGTTTTTCCGAGGCTTTCTTATTGCCTCGCCTATATGTAGATATGTATGTCTCATTGACCAGTTAAAATACTATTAAGCAAGCGCTTTTTTTCAAATAATTCATGGAAATATCTAATTTTTCTATCCTATTTGCCGCGCTCCCTCAATTTATCTCAGTGTAATAGACCTTAATGAATTGAAGTTGTAGCAAATTATCACTCAACTATTCAATATTTCGTTGCGACCTCTGCACTTTTCCACGCACCCCTCAACGTAGGCATGCCGTGTACATACATACCAACCCGTAACACTCCGCAAAATTATGTTGTTACTTCTGCCGTTTTATTCCGCTATTATTTATTTAGGTGTGTTTGCTGTGATTTCGGCAACTACTATTTGCTTTTATTTTCCATGTCCATATATTATGCCGCTTGCCGTTATATAATTTATTTATTTACAATTGACGCAGTTGTCATATACCGATATACAAGAAGAAAATATTCTGTAATGTATCCACAAATGGCGGCAACCGAATTTTCGCCTGGGGCTCTTGCAAACTTTTTAGGAAGTAAATAGAGCAAAAGAGTCACGAATGTATGTACATAAGTACAACATGAAATGAGCAAAAATTTAGAGCATCGTAGAAATCCTTATATTTCAATTGTTTGCAAAAGAAATAAAATTCATTATCAACACACTGGCAGGCTGTCAAAAAAAAAACGACGACAATCTCAGAATCGCACGCTTGTGGGCTCATGTTGCATGCAACTTTAGAATGCGCACACAGCCTCAGGACTGAACATATTGAATTCGCAGCAGCCATTTAGGTTTGCTGCCACTTTTATCGGCTGAAAATGCTTCTAATCATGAAATATCATTAACCGAAAATTGAGATGTCAACTGAGCTGGTTGTAGATTGGCAACAATTGCTGTTGTTGTTGCTAAGGATTCGAAATACATTCATACATATGTACATACATATATACAAGTTTACCGATCGTTTCCCTGTGGGGAAAATCTTAAGTTCTGAACTGGTGCGCTTCTAGTACATTTAGACCCAGTACTGGTTCGCGATAAATCTCTTTTGCATGCACGCAACTGGCGAATTTAACATGACGATGTCCTAGGAAGTGTCAATTGCCCCCCGCTGCATCCCTTTTTCGATAGTTCCGTACTAGTCCTAAATTCTATAGTTCCTAACCAGTTCTAAAATCGACGGACGAAAGAAAAAAGTATCATGATTTTTCAATCTTTTTGGTTCTTCCGTGTGTGCGATTTTAAGTTATTCTGGAAGAAATGGTTTTTCAATTTGAAATTAAATTTGTTTGAATGAAGAAATGTACGTTTACATACCTTTGGCTGTAGTTGAGTTTGCAGAGGTGCTCGCTGTTATTTCTTAGATTCCAGACGGTCCCAAGATGTTGAAATGTTAACACAAATTTGAGTTTTGTATTACCAAGCTATGAAAAAGCATCTGCGAAGCACAGAATTGAAGCGTATTTGAACGAAAAATCCGCCAAACACATATATAGGTAAAGTACACAAGCCCCCCGCTGTATCCCTTATTCGATAGTTCCGAAATAGTTCTAAATTCGACAAATATGATCTATTTCGTTCTGCAT